TGGTCTTGTGACTTGAGCATCCAACGACGTTCGAAACCCTAAGGTCAACGCCGGACAACGCGTAACCCTAGGTCAACGCCAGTCAACGCGTTGCGAGCAAAAATTCAACGTACGACGTTCGAAACCCTAGGGTTAACGCCGGTCAACGCATAACCCTAGGTCAACGCCAGTCAACGCGTTACGATCAAAAAGTCAACGTACGACGGTCAAAACCCCAGGGTCAACGCCGGACAACGCGTAACCTTAGGTCAACGCCAGTCAACGCGTTGCGAGCAAAAATTCAACGTACGACGTTCAAAACCCTAAGGTCAACGCCGGACAACGCGTAACCCTAGGTCAACGCCTATCAATGCGTTGCAATGAAAGAATCAATACTCCGAAAAGTATACGAGTATAAACTGCTTCTTAAATACTCCGAAAAGTATACGAGTATAAACTGCTTCTTAAATACTCCGAAAAGTATACGAGTATAAACTGCTTCTTAAATACTCCGAAAAGTATACGAGTATAAACTGCTTCTTAAATACTCCGAAAAGTATACGAGTATAAACTGCTTCTTAAATACTCCGAAAAGTATACGAGTATAAACTGCTTCTTAATACTCCGAAAAGTATACGAGTATAAACTGCTTCTTAAATACTCCGAAAAGTATACGAGTATAAACTGCTTCTTAATACTCCAATAAAGGTATACGAGTATAAACTATTTCCTATTTTTGGTTGAGAAGTTTCTGGAGAATATTTTTCTAAAAATATTCTTAAGAATAACTCAACAACACTGCGCCGGACAACGCGTCACAAATAAAGACTCAACGCCAACAAGCCGAGCCCCCTCGGGGTGGCTCGGCCAATGGCCGAGCCACCCCGAGGTGGCTCGGTGGCCGAGCCACCTTGAGGTGGCTTGGCCATGAGCCGAGCCACCTCAAGGTGGCTAGGCACAGTGCCGGCCACCCCGAGGTGGCCGACAGTGGCCCGAGGTGGCCGACAGTGGCCAGAGGGGGCCGACAATTCCCTTTTTGCAGCCACTGTCCTGAGAGCCTATAAATAGGCCTAGAGATGTTCATTTTCAGAGGTCGAACTTTCAAGAGCCGAAACTCTGCCGGATTGAAGAGTGAACTCGGAGTTTTGAAGACTTGAAGACTTGGACGTACAGATCTGATCCTCGGCGACCATCCACGTCAGAAAAGGCAGGATCTCGAGAGGGAGAAAGAACAGATCTGAGATCTACACGAGACTACACTCCAGATCTAAGCTTGGTCTTAGATCTCGAGATCCGAGCGATTATTCCCTTGGTGGACTAATCCCTCCCGGCTATTATTCCCTTCGTGGAATAATACCCGTATAATCGTGTAGATCCGATCGGAACTAGATCGCGCGGTGGTCCACGGATTAACCCCGGCGTTGGTAAAGAACCCACAAAGCGAGCGACCGTAAAACAGGAGCTCGCGATTTGTTCACAAAAGGAAAGTTGTAATTTTTCTTATTTTTCTTTGATTAAATTGTAACCGGATCTAAAAAGGACCGGATCTTTTGTAACCCAAGATGACGATTATTTCAATGAAAAAGGCAACAGTTTTCCCCGCGAACAGACATAATAAGTACTCAATTAGTTAAATAAAATGCAACTTTCACATACTCTATATAAACATAAGAAAGAACAAAAATATTAAAGTGAAATGCATTGCCATTAGAGAAAAATAACAAAACATAATATAAGAGAAATACATTCTAGTAAGATTATATTGAGTTTATCACTTACCAATAGTAAAAATAAACAAAGAAACAAACAGATCTGAAACAGAAAAATATAATTATATAGAAAGAAAAGAAAAAATACACTTGTATAGGGAGAAAAATCTTTAATTCTATCTTTGCCTTTTGTATTCATTTTTTTCCATTTGTTAATGAAAGGGTGAGCAATCTACCAATCTGTAGAAAAAACCATAATAGTCCAAAACAGCAGTAGAAAAAATGATAACCTAAGATAGGATGAGCTATTTTCATGGAAGAATTAAAATCTGTCAAATTAGCATCAACTATGTCAAATTAGAGTACATCAACTATGTCAAATTATAGCAAAAAGCAATATCTTAGCTTGCATTTACTGTCATATTTCAGTCATTAAATTTTACAAACATTTAATGTACAATCTTGCATTTCTTCACCTAGCAATATTAAGTCTTGTACATCAAAGCGTTCAAGCCAACAACAACGCTCAAAACTCCAAATTTTTATCTTGCAAACAATAATAAAAATACAAACTCAAATCATCATTTATTGATATTCATAATTAAATAAATAACTAACCAAAAAAGTACCTCATAAAATGACAAAGAAAGAAAATACAAAAACATCCAATAACTTTTTAGCCCATTACAATCAATTGCTCTCTCAATTTTTACACGACTCCATTCGTTTGACTTTAAGTGAATAAGCTAAAATATGCTTTTATATGTGAGCAAAATAAGGAATATAAGATCTCTAGTGAAGATGCAAATATGAAAGATGAAGCAGACTTTGAATCTCTAGTGAAGATGCAAATGTGAAAGTCAGTTAATCCGCCTCCTTTCCCAAGTCCAGTACTGATACTTCTCAAGGAGCTACCACTGAATGTTACATAATTATCCCTGTGTTCCTACAAAGTAGTTATCAATTTTATCAAATCTATACTTTGAAACATCCCCATACAACAGAGAACTTTAAATAAGATACATGAATTGAAAAATAAAATTTGAGTTTGTCAAACATGCACACAAACATGCACCACTACATACACATATATTACAGGACACGCTCAGATAGAGCTAACAAATTTATCCAAAACTTAAAATCACATTAGAATAATTTCATCCTATGAATTAGCCAAATAATAACTACTGAATTTTATGTTCTCAAGCATATAGTGTCTTATAACCTTACAATTCAAAACATTGGTTCAAAAATTCGAGGACGATTCTTAATATTACTAATTTCATAATACTTGATACAATGTTTCAATCAAATCCAGACAACCGTAAAAACAGTGTATGTAAATGTAGTGATATTTCATTCAGAAACCAAGAAATTATATTATTTTAAATACAATTTTATATAATATTCACAAACTACTCTTAGATGTTCACAAATCTACTAATTAATCTCAAACTACTACAAAACTAATTCTCTTATTCAAAAACTAAGAAATATATTTTACAACCTAATTTCATCAATAATTAGAATCTAATTGTTCGCATCAAAAGTTGCTTTCTTCATTGTATAACTCATTACAACTTTGGTCGTTACAATAAGATCAAAAGATTGGTCTTTTTATAAGACTCTTTACACAATAAAAGAAATAAAAATTACAACTCTATCAAACAAACGTAGGGAGATCGTTTATCGGTCTTCTACTTGTGCGAGATCTTTGCCTGTGTCGGGGATTTTGATATCCGTGGACCGCCTCAGATCTGGATCCGGTTGATGGAAAATTGGCAGAGCTTCGCCTTCACCGAGGGAGTATTTGAATTGAAATACTGAGATCGACCAAGCAAAATCAGTACTCTTCTCGAGATTAAGACCAAGCTTAATCTCACGGAACGGTAGGATCGGGCTTCAGATCCTTTGAATAGCTCCTTCTTTATGCTGGAGTTCGTCGAGATCTCGCTAACCCTTGCTGAAATTTGTGACTCTTGGCTCTGGAGTTCGACAACACCTCCTCGTCTTGATAATAAATCGCCCCCTCTGAAATGAGCCCCTAGGCCTGTATTTATAGGCTTCAGTTAAGGGGTTTTCGGATAAGAATGAGTAATTTGGTCTTATCTTCAGTTAATAACGGCTTAACCATGTTTGTAGATGATATCTAGGTAGTTAGGAATCTCTGAAACAGAAGAAACCGATCAAAACAGCCTAAAAACACGTTTTGGAGGTTACAGACAGTTCTAGATGCGAGACGGACTGATCCGACCCGCCGCCGCATGGGTCGGACTGATCCGACCCGCCGCCACGCGGGTCAGATGGATCCGACCCACCGTCGTACTGGTCGGATCACTGTAGCACGCGGCGGATTACTGTAGCATGCGTCGGATCACTGTAGCACGCGTCGGGTACAGTAGCGCGTCAGATCACTGTAGCGCGCGACGGATCACTGTAGCGCTCGTCGGATCACCGTAGCACGTGTCGGATTACTATAGAGCGTGTCAGATAATGTAGCGCGTCGAATTTCTGTAGCACGCGTTGGATTACTATAGCGCGTGTCGGACCACTGTAGCGCGCGTCGGACCACTATAGCGCGCGACGGATACTGTAACGCGTGCGGAGCACTGTAGCGGTCTTAACTCACTCATATGACTTCGGAATGAAGTGATTCAAGATGCGTTAGAAAGCTGACGAAGAGACCTTCAACTTTTGTCTTTTGAATTTTTCCAGATTAGTGATTCAAGATGCGTTAGAAAGCTGACGAAGAGACCTTCAACTTTTGTCTTTTGAATTTTTCCAGATTCAAATTGTATCATGGTCAAAATGTCTGACGAAGAGACCTTCAACTTTTGTCTTTTGAATTTTTCCAGATTCAAATTGTATCATGGTCAAAATGTCAATTCTTTGTGCGGGTTTCTTTGAGGTATTTGACACTTTCTGACTTCTCCGGACTTGTATTGTGCATTTCTTCATTACGTTGACTTGTACACTCCAATGACTCACTTTGTATATTCATTAGCTTCCACAGGGCCGGATAATCATTTCCTGACTTGAATTATGACGCTTATCATCTGTATTTCGTCTCGAGCTGTTTGTAGGAACCTATAGGCATTTTTATACGCCTACACTAATTTTTTATAAGCAAGTCAAAAGAAGAGTACATTAAACTTGATAGAGGAAAAAACTCAAAACACCTAAAACACCCAAAATGAACTCACCTTCCCATCAGGACCGTCGTGGCCATCACCATGACCACAAACTTCCTATGCACCTTGTAATGCTCTCTCAAAATCCTTCAAGAGCTCTATCACCTCATCCTGCACCAATTTAGGATTCTTCAAATAGCTTGCCTTCAGCTTGAAGTCGTACTTTCACCAAATCAGTTGGATTAGCGACTGTTATTGCTATAGCACCTATTTGAAATTTATAAGACAAACATGTTATAAAATTGTCAGGAGTAGCCCAAAGAAGAAATCTTACCTTAGAAATTATAGAAACTCAAATGTAAATTGGTCAAACAGATGCAATTTCACTGACACTGACAGTATGAATCAAACTATAAAATGGACCTAGACCTACCAGTTGTAAGACCAGCAAGTATTTTCTTGGTTAGAGGAATATCTCCAACGAAATTCTCACCAACATACAAGGATTTAACCTAACAAAAGAGCCAACAACTAACAAATAAGGAATATAAATATCAAGCAAATTCCCATTTGATAAATAGTAAACTTACCGGCTCACACAGTCCAATCCGTAGGCCTCCAAATACACATTGACGATGTAATCCTGGCACAATACCCTTCCAAAGTATTGCCAAGCCTTCTTCTCTAGCAATTGTAGATACAGTGCCTAACATGCCTCTGTATTTTGGTAAATTTTCCACATCTCCTGAAACCGCTTCCTTTTGAAGCTGAAGCCTGACTTTTGCAGTGTCCAAAGGAATAGTGCAAATCTTGCACATGAATTTATTCACAAATCTACTAATTAATCTCAAACTACTACAAAACTAATTCTTTTATTCAAAAACTAAGAAATATATTTTACACCTAATTTCAGCAATAATTAGAATCTAAATTTTTTTAAGCAAGTCACAAGAAGAGTACATTAAACTTGATAGAGGCAAAAACTCAAAACACCTCACACTTGGAAATAATAAGAAGAGTACATTAAACTTGATAGAGGCAAAAACTCAAAACACCTCACACTTGGAAATAATAACACAAAAATAGCCTCACACTTGGCAAAAACTCAAAACACCTCACACTTGGAAATAATAACACAAAAATAGCCTCACACTTGGAAAACCAATAAAGATGTTCTCACAATTGAAAAAACCAAACCAATGCCCACACATTTGGGAAAACCCCAAACGAAAAAAAGAAAAAAACACTAACAAATCACCCATTTTCGAGTCAAGTGCGCGTCGCGTGCACCAAGATACTACTGATACTATGTGGCAATTCTAAAAAGACAACAAAAGAATCACATCAATTATCAAATTACCAATCCGCTTCTCTATACAAAACAATAAAGTTTTACTCTATGAAATGTTGTGCACGACGGAAGCTTCAAGGCGACACGAACAATAACTCGAGATAAATCACAACCAATAAGAAAATCACAATCACAGCAAGAACACCGAGTTTAACGTGGTTCGACAAGTTACCTACGTCCACAGGGTAAGAAAGGGGGAGTTCTCACTATTAGAAATCAAGAGAATACAAATAGAGTTATAAATCTCACCGATGAAACCCTAAAATAAAGCTCTAGATCTCACAAATCTCCCACAATTGGATACAACAATCCTCTCCAAAAGACTGCTCAAAATCATTCTTGTTTAACCCTAATTAATTAGGTTTAGGGTTATATATCAACTCAGAAGCAAGCCGGGTTAAAATCCAAAGCCCAGCCCAAAAACAGTCTGCGGTCGACCACGGCGGTCGACCGAACCAAAACCCGAGAACAGAATTGATTACAGTCATGACGCGGTCGACCGTGGCAGTCGACCGAATCTCATCCCGAGACCAAAAATCACCTACAGGGTCCTCGCGATCGACCGTCATGGTAGACCGCCTTCAGCTCCGATTCCTAGTGGTCTTTGTGCACGTTCACGATCGACCGCGGCGGGCGACCGCCAGTCTGGTCTTTGTGCACGTTCACGATCGACCGCGGCGGTCGACCGCCAGTCTGCCTGGCTGATTCTTTAGTTGTTTTCCTGCACTCTCTTGCCATTTCTTCAATTCTCTACCTCGGCGAATGTTTCTACCAAAACTGAGCTGATACCAAATCATCCAATAGTCCCTCAACAAGTTCGGGAACCAATCTGGAGCTGCAACGTAATCTCCCCCCCTCCCCATATGAATCAATAGATCAAACCAGCTGTATCTGAAAGACTGCCTATGTATTCTCTTTTCCAAGGAATCAAACCGAATGTAGTTCACCCAAATGGCCTCCAAAGGCCTCAACACTGAAGAATGTTCAAAAGCTTCAAACAATGACCAAATTTTACTCCTGAAACAACTTTGGTCAGCATATCTGTAGGGTTATCATTCGTGTGGACCTTCTCCAATATGACGTCTCCATCATCCAAAACGTCACGAATAAAGTGGAATCTGACATCGATGTGCTTCATGCGCGCATGATAAATCTGGTTCTTTGCTAAATAGATAGCTAACATGCTATCACAATATACCCGAATGGTTTCCTGTGTAATCCCCAAGTCCTCCAATAATCCACGCAATCACAAAGCCTCCTTCACAGCTTCAGTCACCGCCATATACTCTGTCTCTGTAGTAGAGAGAGCCACTATAGACTAAAGTGTACATCTCCAACATACAAATGCACCTGCTAATGTAAAAACATAACCTGAAGTAGACCGGCGCTTGTCAAGATCTCTAGCATAATCTAAATCCACGTAGCCAATATAATCTTGCCCATTCTTTTTATCCTTTTGGAATACTAAACCAACATCCACGGTGCCTTGAACATACCGTAGAATCCACTTCACGACCTCCTAATGATCCTTCCCGGGGTCATGCATGTGTCTCGATACCATACTCACGGTCTGTGATAAATCTGGCCTCGTACACACCATCGCATACATCAAGCTACCTACTGCACTGGCATAAGGGACCTTTGACATATAATCTATATCCTTAACTGAAACAAGTGACACCAACGCTGAAAGCTTAAAGTGGGGAGCCAATGGTGTGCTAACTACTTTTACATTACCATCAAAGCTGAATTTCTTCAACATCTTCTGCAAATAGCTCTTCTGTGTAAGCTTCAAACTCCATTTCACCCTGTCTCTCTCAATCTCCATACCCAATATCTTCTTTGCCTCTCCAAGATCCTTCATCTCGAACTCGGATGACAGCTCCTCTTTTAATTTTCGAATAGCCGAAGAATTCCTGGAAGCAATAAGCATATCGTCAACATATAAAAATAAATATATGTGCTCACTATCCTGTAGCTTGTGCATATAAACACATGAGTCATATGGGCTCCTCGTGTACCCATGGCCAATCATAAAGCTGTCGAATCTCTTATACCACTGTCTCGGCGATTGCTTCAAACCTTAAAGAGACTTCTTCAGCTTACAAACCAAGTCTTCCTTTCCTGCAGCTTTGAATCCCAAGGGTTGTGTCATGTAGATCTCCTCATCTAAATTACCGTGTAGAAAGGTTTTCTTTACATCCATCTGGATCAAATCCAAATCCAACTGTGCCACCAACGCTAATAAAATCTGTATCGATGAATGCTTCACAACGGGTGAAAATACCTCGTTATAGTCAATACCCTCAAGTTGTGCATATCCCTTGACAACCAATATGGCTTTGAAACGAATGTCCCCAATAGAAGATCTTTCCTTCTTCACATATACCCACTTACAACCTATAGCTTTCTTACCCTTAGGTAGATGTGCAAGTGTCCAAGTGTCGTTCTTCTGAAGAGACCGCATCTCCTCCTCTATAGCTTCACTCCACCTGATCGAATCGGGGTTAGACTCTACCTCCATGAATACTACACTGATAATATATATGCGACCATGACATCATTATACCTAGCTGGCCAACGAATTACTCTCCTCGGTCTATCTGCTGCAATGGACCCCTGAACATGACCATGTTCCTGAGTCCCATAATCCACTGTATCCTCTATATGCCTGGTTGTCATCTCATCTCCTCCCAATGTCATCTCTGTAGGAGCCTCGATGGATACAATACTCTTTAGAATGGGTGGAGTCACATCATCCTCCACCTGCTACGATATCTCTCTTGTCTGGTCTCCCTCTACCTACCGAGGGACTCGAGGCCTCATCATGTACGCCTCATCAAATATGACATCTCTGTTAATAACTATCTTCTTGCCATGTGGATCCCATAACTTGAAGCCTTTGACTCTATCTCTAAATTCCACAAAGACTACTTTCCTCGCCCTCAGATTTAATTTACCATCACTGACATGGTAATAAGCTAGACACCCAAATATCTGAAGCGACTCATAGTCACTAGTCACCGAACCAAACCAACGTTCCAAAGGAATCTTCCCGTCTATCACAGTGCACGACAACCTATTCACGAGATGGCTTGCATAAACCAATGCCTCGGTCCAAAAGATCTAGGCAATCCACTCCGCGTCATCATACATCACACCTTCTCCAGCAAGGTATGGTTCAATTTCTTAGCCACCCCGTTCTGTTGCGGTGTCTCTCGAACTGTGAAGTGTCTTCTAATGCCGTGATCCAGGTAAAACTACAGAAACGGATCACTCTTATACTCCCCACTGTTATCTGAACGTAGAGTCTTCACCTTTCTACATATCTGCAGCTTCACTTTCTTTTTCCACTCTATAAAAATATCCAGGATCTGATGTTTATGCTTCATAGAGTATACCCAATTCCTCCTGGAATAGTCATCAATAAAAGTGACAAAATAATTGGCCCCATCAAGAGATGTGTTCTTGGAAGGACCCCAAACATCTGTGTAAATGTAATCCAATGTACCTCGAGTGTTATGAACAGTAGTGCCAAACTTCACTCTAGTCTTCTTCCCAAGTACACAATGCTCACACAGCTCCATCTTGCAGGTCTTAGCACCTTTCAACAGCCCCTGTTTTGCCAATAACTATAGGGACTTATCACATGTGTGTCCAAGTCTCATGTGTCATAAAGTGGTAGTGTCCTCCTCTGTAGTGATAGAAGCTGCCAGTCCCCCTATAACTGTCTTGCCCTTCAAGTAGTATAGGTTATTTTCCCTGACACCTCGCATCACCACCATAGAGCCTTTCGTGACCTTCACTGTAGCATCCTCTAAGATCACTCGATATCCTACTGCCTCTAAAGTCCCAAGAGAAATTATGTTCTTCATTAACTGCGACACGAACCTCACTTCCTTCAACTCCCTCACTACACCGTCATGCATCCTAATTCGGACTACACCAATACCACCAATAGGGTGGTCATTACCCATAAGTACGACATGCCCTCTTTCCAGCTCCTCAAAGCTAGAGAACCACTCCCTCTTAGGGCAGATGTGATATGTAGCTCCCGAATTCATCATCCACTCCGTAGAATCAGCATAACAAACCGACGGTAGTGCAGGACATAAGTAGCCCGAAGAATCTGAATCTGAATGCTCACCTAAAGCTTTTGCAACATTTACTTTTGAAGCTTATGCAGCTTTCCCTTTGTTCTTCTCGGTTTTTTCTTTCCATTTTGGGCAGTCAATCTTCCAATGTCCTTCTTCTTTACAATACCGACATTGATTTCTACCAATACTCTTATAGGCACTCCTATTCTTTAACTTTGAGCGGTTGAACTGGCAGCGGTTTGGATCACAACCTCGAACAGCTAATGCATCTCCTGATGCCTTCTCGAAGGTTTCACCATCACTCTTTCTCAACTCATAATTCACCAAAGCTGAAGTTACCTCCTTATAGCTAACTATAGTTCTTCCATTGATCATAGTTAGAACAAACGTACCATAATCATCCTCGGACAACGAACACAAAAGTAACATTGCCTTGTTTTTATCCTCAACTATGTTGTCCACATTGGCCATATCTGAAAGTAGCTTAGTAAAATTGTTGACATGCTCCCTGACGAAAACTCCCCTCTTCATCTTGAACTGGTAAAACCTTTTCTTCAAGTGAAGCTGATTCTCAATGCTCTTCGTAAGATACTTCTCATTGAGTATTTCCCACATCTTCTTCGCTAACGTCTCGTTCATAACATCATAAATAAGATCCGGCGTCAAGCATGACCTAATAACACCACAAGCTCTACTATTCATATTCCTCCAAACCTTGTCCTCCATATCAGCGGGTTTCTCTTTTAACTCAAGAGTCTCCTCCAAATTCTATGCATCCAAGGCGTCTATCACTTGACACCTCCATAATCCAAAATTGATCTTGCCGTTAAACTTTAGAACATCAATCTTCGTGTTATTGATGCTCAGACTATGTATCGCCTTCGTAAGAGACGAACCTGATGTGCTTACATCTCCCATGTTGTCGATCTAACTTTTCAGATAGGAATCTTTACAGAATCCTTCAAACAAGCCTGAAGCCCTGATACCAATTGTTGTGCACGACGGAAGCTTCGAGCCGACACGAACAATAACTCGAGATAAATCACAACCAATAAGCAAATCACAATCACAATAAGAACACTGAGTTTAACGTGGTTCGGCAAGTTACCTACGTCCATGAGGCAAGGAGGGGGGAGTTCTCACTATTAGAAATCAAGAAAATACAAATAGAGTTACAAATCTCACCGATGAAACCCTAAAATAAAGCTCTAGATATCTCACAAATCTTCCACAATTGGATGTAACAATCCTCTCCAAAAGACTGCTCAAAATTAACCTTGCTTAACCCTAATTAATCAGGTTTAGGGTTATATATTAACTTAGAAGAGAAACGGGTCAAAATCCAAAGCCCTGCCCAAAAACAGTCTGCGGTCGACCGCGCAGGTATCGCGGTCGACCGCGACGGTCGATCGAACCAAAACCCGAGAGCAGAAGTGATTACAGTCATGACGCGGTCGACCGTGGCAGTCGACCGTATCTCATCCTGAGACCAAAAATCACCTACAGGGTCCTCACGGTCGACCGCCTTCAGCTCCGATTCCTAGTGGCCTTTGTGCACGTTCACGGTCGATCGCGACGGTCGACCGCCAGTCTGCCTGGCTGATTCTTTAGCTGTTTTCCTGCACTCTCTTGTTATTTCTTCATGAAAAGCCATCATCATCAAACTGAGCTTATTGAAATCAGTAGTAGTAAAGACAAATAAGAAGGACTAAAATTGTTAACCAAATAGTAGATGGTTTGATAGAGTATGTGAAACAAATCATATTTTTAACCTAATATTACTTAAATGAAGGATCTAATCCAAAACTGAAAGGCATTAGTTTATCTAGTTAGAAGGTAATTGGTAGAACATTATCAATAAGTGAATCTATCATCAGCAACTAAGGCAACATATTGTGACATTGTCCTGTTGCTACGAAATAATAACACAAAAGGCAGAACCATATTGTTTGTATAATGTGTTTTGTAACGGTAATATACAACTTTGACAATAAAAATATAAACTTTAGGAAGTAGCAACACGAGCTCTTAACAATAGATGTTTAATTTTCAAGCATTACTCAGTAAAGAGCAGAAATAAATCATCATACCCATAAACAGTAACCCACTCCTCCTCACCCAACATCGCGTCCCTCGCCGAGACCCGTGTTTGTTGGAAATTTTGCAGTAAAAAGACAATGAAAGAAAAATTGACTTGTATTCTCTCAAAATCAATTACAATTTGGATTTCCTGATTACAAAAGAGAGGAGAATGAATTTGATTCTCCCCTTTGTTTATGGGTTCTTCACGGTGGCGATGAGATGCCTCCCTCGAATGCTCGCGTCGAGTTTGCTTCTCGTTGACGATCCAAACGTCGTTGACGATCCGAACGTCTTGATTCACTGGAACGTAGTCTTCTCCTCACGATTTGACGCTGTGGAGAACTTACGTGGCAAGTCTTAAAAAATAACTCTTAACGAGTTAATAACTCAGAGCGAGTTTATCTCTATGAAAGAGTTGATTTAAACCGAAAGTTCGGTTAATAAGACAAGGATAAAGAAGCTCCTATTGTCGACCTCTAAAGCTCCAGTCGAAGAACGAATGCTCTTCTTTGCTGCCAATCCTCAGGTCCAAAAAGCCAGCCCTTGACCGAATTTCCCTTTGTTGATGACAGAAAATCCGATCCAAAGCTAGTCGAAGATCTCTTCTTTGCTCCCCCCCCCCAAAAGAAGGATCCGAACTCAGTTGAGTTTCCCACTATTTATAGGGGATTAAGGGTGGTAACTACCCCCTTAATCTGCTCCTCAATGGGCTGAGTGGGGTGTAACCGCCCCCTCTTAAACAGCTCCCTAAATCGTGGGGAAAACGGTTTTGAAACCGTTCTGTTAGTGCTTTGAACGAGTCAAAACGCCAATCTGAGCGTTCTGGACCTTAACTCTGCGTCTTATTGATGAGACGCAGAGTTGGGCGCTCGTTGGGAGTTGAAACGCACAGGCCGCATGCGTTTTAGAGATGAATTCTGCGTTTTAGGCTGAAAACGCAGAGTTGGGCCTGTTTAAAGGCTGAAAACGCACAGGTCGTGCTGTTTTAGAGATGAACTCTGCGTTTTAGGCTGAAAACGCAGAGTTGAGCCTGTTTTAGGCTGAAAACGCACAGTTGGGCCGTTTTATGAACTCTGCGTTTTAGGCTGAAAATGCAGAGTTGGGCCGTAACTCTGTGTTTTGATGTTATATCACAAGGATAACCTCTGCGTTTTGAGGTTATAATGCTGGTTCGACCTGTGCGTTTTGACTCTGTAATGCAGAGGCGAACCTTAGGCGGGCTTGGCGAGCTTCAAGCTAAGTCCAATGTTCTGACGAAGTCCGGTCTTACAGACGGACTTCAGAACATAATTTGCTACGAAGAACAGGTCATAACTTTCAAACCGTAAGTCGGAATTGGACGAATTATATATGAAAATCGGCTATCTCGACGAGACGGGGCCATCCGAACCTAGCTAAAGGCTTCGGTTCGCTTCCTCCGTTTCGCCAAATTCCTTACGGTTTGAGATATATATGCGTTTTAATATGAAGAGACCGTCAATTTGTAGTCTCTTTTGCTAGAGCGTTGTAAAGACCGTCACCTTG